TTCCCTTTAAAAATAAAAGCAGTAAAATAAAAATGTAAATATTGTATTTATTGATGTCTTCTTCTCATTTTAACTACTTCAGTCCCACAAACAGCTGCATTAATAAAGGAGGAAACAGTTTTTATGAGACTGGCAGCATGAAATCACGGCGGCCACCTTTAAATCCGTCGCTTTGCTCCGGGTGGAAACTCGACGTCCAGCAGCTTCCTGCTCGCCGCTGTTTGCCGTTTCCTTCTGGGCCTGAGGTTTACTTCCTGTCCAGCCTGCTGCAGGTTTTCCATCAGAGGCAGAAGAAGCTCTTCCTGATCTCACCTGAGGAAACAGGAAACTGTAAAAACTACAGCTGAGCAGAAACTGAACACATCAGGTCTGTCCAGCTTGGTAGAAACTGTTAGCTCTAATTTGCCTTAATGTTCAAACATTGTTGCAGATTTGAGTCATTTTTTATTCCCACCTCTCTTTTAGTCTGAGCTGGAGTTTTCTTTTCGGTCGATCGTTCTGCCAGTGACCCTCCGCTCGCTGACCTCCTGCTTCTCGTTGCCGCAGCAACCTCTCCTGCTTCCTGATCCGGTTTTGGACCCGTTGGTTTCTCTGGAGCTGACCTGGATGAGGTTCTAGGAGTAGCCGGCTGCTCTGCTGGTTCTGTAACCTGTTTGGACTCTGTGGTTTTATCTGGAGCCGATCCCGACGATGAGGTACCTGCTCCTCTGGTTTCTTTTTCCAGTTTGGAGTCTGTTGGTTTCTCTGGAGCTAACCTGGATGCAGAGTCTTCACGCTGTCGGGACTCTGCTGTTTCATCAGAAGATAACCTGATTAACTCTAATCTAACCTCTCTACGCTCTGCAGACTCTGTTAGCTGTGTGAAGTCACCTGGATCTGACTTGGACAACCCGCCTGCAGCTGCAGGAGCTCTCTGCAGTTCAGAGTTCATGTTTTCATCTGGAGACAATCTAGACGAGGATCTAATGGCCTCGACATGATCTGGAGTTTCTTTATCTAGTTTTGGTTCCACAGACTGAACCAATCTAGAGGACCTTGTAGCTGTGGTACGGTCTAGTGTTTCTTTATCTTGTTTTGCTTCAACTGGTTGATCAGGAGTCAATCTGGAAGAGAATCTTTTCGCTGCAGGACGATCTGAAGCGTCCGGATCTGGTTTGGTCTGGGTTGTTTTATCTGGAGCCGATCGAAACGACGTTCTTGTGGATCTCTCTGAACTTTCTTTCTCAGCCAAAGCTCGACTCGGGGTGCTTCTGCTTGAAGCAGGTTTAGTGTTGCACTCAGACTTAGTGGGAGCAGAAGCTCCTTTAGGTTTTCCACCAGGGGTTTTCGCTGCAGGAGTTTTTCTGGAGGACGCAGGAGTTGATTTGGAGAGTGTAGTAGAAGAAGAAGCTGGTTTTGCTGGTGTTTTTTTAGTGCAGGTCTTCGGTTGAACCTGTGGAGAAAACAGAACAGAGTCTGTAAAAATCCTTGACACCTCTTGTCCATTTCTGTGTTCAATACATTTAAAATAAACACAAACCAATTCCAATAACATTTTACTGGTAAATATATCAAGTGGAGCATCACAGCTGACGTTCATAAAACATCATGCAAATACAGGGTGGTGTCTTTATAAAACATTACACTGTCAACAACCGAGAAAACCAGTAAACATTTTTACATTTTGTCATGCACTGTCATTACACATCAAATATTTTGCTCAAAGTTTCATTTATTAACTTCCAGAAGCAGATCTAACCAGCTGGGTTTTTAGTCCAGACTTAAAGGAATTCAGTGTTTCAGCTGTTCTGCACTTTTCTGGAAGTTTGTTCCAGATTTGTGTATTCAGTTTGTCTGTGTTATTGTGTGTCTGCATCTATCAAATAAACTTAATAAATACATTTTAAGCAGAAAGGAGTTTGAACTCACCTTGAGTTTGCTGCCGAGGCCGGGCATGTTCTGGATCTCCCACATCCCCTCAGCGAAGCCCTTGATGCGAACGCCGCTTCCGTACTTCAGCTTGTTCCCGACGTACGGAGCGACGTTCTCCGGCGTGACGGAGCCTCTGGGGAGAGAACGACCACAGCCGGGTTAAAGACGCACACAGAGGGAGAAGCTGATTGGCTGCTGGGTGTACGTACATCTGATGGGTCCCGAAAAAGTAGACTGGGACTCGCTTCCTGTAGCCGTTCTCTGATTTACAGACCTACAAACACAGACGGGTTAAAGCATCCCAGGTCAGAACAGCTGTGTGTGACGAAGGGTGTGTTGTCTGCTTGTTTACCCGAGCCGGCCAGTGAGGAAAGCCTTTCATCTTGGCGAACACCAGGTCGCCGGCCTTCAGAGGGTTACCGAGTTTTCCGGACATCCTGCTGCTCCAGAAAGCGACTTAAGGAAAGCTGAAAACAGATATGATATTAGTGATGATCACAGATTCATGACAAGCATAAAGACAGACTGTTAGGAGTCTATATGTAACTATATAATGTCCATTTATTAATTTATTGATTGCTTCAATACATTATTACCATTTAAAATCAAGTTTCTTGTTCTTTGTTCTAATAACAAATCTAAAGCAGGTAAACCAAATGAAAGTTTGGTTGTTGATTTGCTCTCCCACAGTTTGACCACCTTGTGCTACATGAACACATCAGACATGACATCATTTTAAATCTCTTGTATTTCTAGGTTGAGCTGCCAGGTGTGCTGTCTACCTGTGATCTGCTCTAGAGGTGCAGAGAACATTGTGAGCTTTTTCTGACCACCTGTGTCTTCGTTAACAATTTCACATCTTTACTTGTGGACCTTAATCTGCTTACATTGTTTATATATTTACGGATTAGCTTAAAAATGTCTCAATTACAGTTAGCAAACCGACGTTTACCAAACACTCCATATAATCGGTGAAAACAGCTTTGTCTCCCCGCTTCCTTCGCTGTAACAGCTCTTAAGGTTCAGGATAATCAGTTTTTAGAGGGACTTTTCGGTCTAACTCAGCAGGTTTCGCTTTGCATCATCATGTTCACTCATTGTTTACAAATACACTCATACCTGCTAGCTAGCGGCTGTGCTAATTGTCAGTCAGTCTAAACGGAAACGGTTCAAATAGTCGTTGTGGTTTTATAAATTGTTCGTATTTCCGTTTGCTCACCTGGAACTAAAAGACAATCTTCTTGAATCAACAGTAGTTTAAATAAAACATCTCGTTGCGAAGCTACATTCTAACACTCGCCGCCATATTGGCCCATTCACTCGTGTGACGTAGTCAATGACGTTTTTCCCGCCATCCTGGACCGTACCACCGTACGGTGGTCGGTACCAACCTTCGACAGTTTTGGGGTGTTTGCGTCACATCAAAAACACTTTATCTACCTTCACTAAATTTCTGAAACCATGAAAAATATAAAAGTG